TCTCCAAGCTTTCCTCCTGCTCCGTTTGTTGCTCCAGTCCACGCTGCTCAGTGAGCAGAGGACGAGGAAGCTGTTTCCTGCTCTGTTTTCCTCTGTTGCGGGCGGGCGCTGCCGGGGGCGCTGCAAGTACCGGTCCCATCCAAATGCAGTATAGTACCATTTTAAATGCCTCAGTACCGCGGTACCATACTAGTACCGGTATATCGTGCAACACTATTTCAAACTTATCTTGACTGATTTTACTATTGACCACCTTTAGGCTAAATGTCTTGTCATAATAAGCAATTTAATTTATTTATCAACCAACTATCATTTCAGTCACCTGATTTTTCCCTGTTCAAAAACACCTTGTTCTGTTTCAATTTCAGGTCAGTGGGAGAACAAGCACACTGGATGGGGCTATAGCTGCCTGCCTATTAGAGTTTGGTGATAAAGATGGTAAATAGTAATGCTTTTATAAGCAAATAATTTTGTCTTTTCCACATGAAAAATAAATTAAGCTTTTTCCTGTGAGGCACGAATATGGATTAGTGTTTGTGTGTAGAAGCATTTTCAGCCTACAAAACCCCATAGGGTCAGATTTTAAGTAGGAAAAACTGTTATTTGCCTTTTGTATAAATTTCAAATTCAACCTTGTCTGGCTCATTCCCAGAGCTATCAAAGCAAACTTGATGCAAGAGGCATAATTGAACCTAGCATACAGGTGGAGAAGACAAAGAAAAATTCCCAAACATGGGCAATATGAGAATCTAAAACAAAGTGCTCTGCATAAAGTTTGATGTCTGCCTAATTTTCTCAGTCAGGTTACTTTTGAGAAGACTGACTGTTTTTGTCTTCTCAGTCCCAGGCCAACAAAGGAAGAGAAAGCAAGTTGGACCCAGCAGTTCTCAGGACAGTGGTGAGATTCAGCCCAGCAAGAAGAGGAGATCATCATGGGTAAACTTATTAATTCTCCTATCATTGGCATAACACAAATTTTAGAACATGTTAAGTGCTTGTACTGATGCGTCTTCTTAGCTTTTACATTCGTACTGCTTTAATGCATGATGGACATACACATTGCCAAGCACTACATAAGGATGACCAGATTGATCATGTGTTGAAGGTGATGATGGGAGCAATCAATATTTAGTCACTGCAAAATGTGCATCTCGGTAGCTTATTAAGGACGTTTTCAGTGTTTTCTTGTACTTAAACCAAAAGGTCTCAGATGTAGAAGATGCTAAAGCTAAGGAGCCCACCTGGGAGAAGCAAGAAGCTATGGTCAGACGACTGCAGAAAAGGTTTCCTGATCAGGACAAGGAGGTGAAAGCATGCAGACACATTGTCCTTCTTTATGACACTCTCAAACTGTGTATACTCAACTGAGTAAATGGGTTTGTGATATTACACACAGATGGGTGACAAATTAAATGAAACACCTGAATAAATGAGTGGTTTCTTCTCAGATTATAGTCATAGGGAACAGGGGGTAACTGAATGAGTATGAAAATGATGTGAATTATGTGCTGTGCCCTTCAAGTCATCAGATCTCACCCTAGTTGAATACCTGTGAGAGATTTTGGGCCAATGTGTTAGACAGTGCTCTTCACTGCCATCATCAAAACACCAAATGAGGGAATATCTTTTGGAAGAATGGCGTACATCCCTCCAGTAGAGCTCAGAGACTTGTAGAATTAATGCCAAGGTTCATTGACTATGTTCTGGTGGCACAAGACCAAGACACTTTTTCCTTTACGTTGTTACCTGTCTGCAAGTCCTGAGGAAGGAAAAGGGTGTTTCTCACCTCTCAGTCTTACAATAGAAGTTGCTTTGCAGCTCAAAACAACTCTAGTTCTCTCTAGGGATTTTGTTGCAGCTTTATACTCTCTGGCATGCTATATAACAGGAACACTTCACCCACATTTCACTGTAGCCACATCCCACTTGGTCTCATCTCAAAACACTAACCTACTTATTTCTCCATAGAAAACCTGGGAAAGTAAAATACATTGTAGGCCTATATATGGCATGAAAATGCATAAAGAGATTGAATGGTTGTTAAACCAGCTCAAACCCCTAAAAATAGTCTTCAGTGTAAAACAAAACCGGCTCTTTAAATTCAGCAGAACTACAGTGAGGACAAAAGTGAAATGTGTGTGTCATTTGTGAGCGACTAAATTATTCACTGAATGAATGAATATGTGGTGATTGTTTAGGTGTTGTGATTGACTGCATCATAAAACATCCTAATCTCATTGTCAACTATTAAATCTAGGCATTGAGGATCAAACAGTTAACCATGAACTTCAATCATCATGGCCTATTTGTCACTTGAAACTTATTCAGAAACAGAGTTGTTAGTCAAATTTGGAAAATGGGTGTTTGCAAAATATTTGCTGTATCTTTCGGTTGTGAAATGTGAAGTGAAAAACCAATTTACTGGCACTTGCATTGATGCCTCTCCCTAGAAAATGATTTTATGCTGTACCAGACCACAAAGTGCAAAGAAAATGTTTAGGCTGATTTTCCAAGGCTATTTCTGGAAACAGTGGATCTTGAGCATTATTTCTGACCTTTGCTGATGTCTGACGTGTTGTAGGAGCTGCGAATGGTGCTGCAGGAACATGATTGGAATGTTGAGGATGCACTGCAGGTTCTGCAGATATTCTCAGACACAGGTCCAAATACAATTGCTGCCTTCTGAATCAAGCAATCTTTTCACTGACTTATGTATACTTTATTACCTTTCCTTTTGTCAACCGATTCTGATGCAAATTTGTTTTTTCTGTTGTCAGATAATACCAGCTACAGCTCAACAGAGTTTGAAGAAAAGAAAACTAGCAAATCAATCAATAAAGACGAGTCGAGCAGGGGC